GTAAGTTCTTACATGGTTATATCTGCAGAGTACATACAGTATTTTCTTTTTTTATTTTATTATTTTTTTGAGACAGAGTCTTGCTGTGTCGCCCAGACTGGACTGTAGTGGTGTGATCTCAGCTCATTGCAGCCTCACCTCCCTGGTTCAAGCAATTCCCCTGCCTCAGCCTCCCCAGTAGCTGGGATTACAGGCACATGCAACCACTCCCAGCTAATTTCTTTGTATTTTTAGTAGAGACGGGGATTCACCATGTTGGCCAGGCTGGTCTCGAACTCCTGACCTAAGCCAATCCGCCCGCCTCGGCCTACCGATGTACTGGGATTACAGGCGTGAGCCATTGCACCCAGCCTATTTCTTTTATTTTTATTTTTTTTTCTCGAGATAGAGTCTCGCTCTGTCGCCCAGGCTGAAGTGCAGTGGCGTGATCTTGGCTCACTGCAAGCTCCGCCTCCAGGGTTCACACCATTCTCCTGCCTCAGTCTCCCGAGTAGCTGGGACTACAGTGCCCGCCACCAAGCCCGGCTAATTTTTTTTTGTATTTTTAGTAGAGATGTGGTTTCACCATGTTAGCCAGGATGGTCTCGATTTGCTGACCTTGTGATCCGCCCACCTCGGCCTCCCAAACTGCTGGGATTACAGGCGTGAGCCACCGTGCCCGGCCATTTTTTAATTTTTTGAGAGTCTCTCTCCGTTGCCCAGGATAGAGTGTAGTGGTGCAATCTTGGCTCGCTGCAACCTCCACCTCCTGGGTTCAAGCGATTCTCCTGCCTTAGCTTCCTGAGTAGCTGGGATTAAAGTGCCCGCCACAACGCCTGGCCAATTTTTGTATTTTTAGTAGAGACGGGGTTTCACCATGTTGGCCACACTGGTCTTGAACTCCTGACCTCAAGTGATCCGCCCGCCTCGGCCTCCCAAAGTACTGGGATTACAGGCGTGAGCAATTGCACCTGGCCAGTATTTTAAACATTTCACGTTGCCAGTCTAAGAATGTGTCATTTGGGCTGCTTGTAGTGGTTCATGTCTATAATCCTAGAACTGCAGGAGGCCGAGGGGGAGGGTCACTTGAGGCCAGGAGTTAGAGTCCAGCCTGGACAACACAGTGAGACCCTGTCTCTACAAAAATTTTTGTTAAATTAGCTGGTGTGGTGACATGCACCTGTAGTGCTAGCTACTCAGGAGGCTGAGGCTGAGGCTCAGGATTCCTTGACCCCAGGAATTTCAGGCTACAGTGAGCTATGATTGTGCCACTGTACTCCAGCCTGGGTGGCAGAACAAGACTCTGTCTCTTAAAAATAACAGGCTGGGCGCCGTGGCTCATGCCTGTAATCCCACCACTTTGGGAGGCTGAGGTGGGTGGATCACAAGGTCAGGAGTTCAAGACCAGCCTGGCCAACATGGTGAAACCCCATCTCTACTAAAAATACAAAAATTAGCTGGGCATGGTGGTGCATGCCTGTAATCCTAGCTACTCAGGAAGCTGAGGCAGAAGAATCGCTTGAACCCAGGAAGCAGAGGTTGCAGTGAGCTGAGATCACGCCACTACACTCCAGCCCGGGTGACAGAGTGAGACTCTGTCTCAGAAAATAAAAATAAAAATAAAAATAACAACAACAACAACACCACCACCCCAAAAACACATATGTTTCAGAGTCAAAGAAACAGTTCAAGTTCAGGATGTTCCACTTATTAACAAGTTACTTCATCTTCCTTATCAAAAACGTGAAAATGATAATAACTTCCACGGCCTTGTTGAGAAGACAAAATGATGTTACATACGTAAGAGTTGCTTGTCCCAGGGATACCCGGACATTGGAAAGGAGGATGAGTGTCTGCATGGTGGAACACTGGGAAGCATCTTGTCAAAGGTGGGGCTGACCTGCAGAGTCCTTTCATGGTCAGGAGTAGCAGCATCACTATTAGGGACTGCCCCAGCATTCGGAGCCT